GAGAACCATGGTGCTACCAGCTTTTTCATTCCCGTTCCCCAACGCCGGGACTAATGAAAGCGCGGTTAGAATCATTGGGAGTACTGTTCTTGTAGAGGATGTTGCAAAACTATCGGACCGTTCGACATACGAGTGCTTCTCGAGTAAATACAACTTTTCGAAATATCAACTCGTTAAACATGTAGTACTTTTAGAGAGTGTTGTATGAAATCGTATTGATAGAAGCAGAAATGATAAGACTTTAAGGTAAACGATCGGAACAAAGTACATAGCTAGTTGGTGAAAAAAACAGCTGAATTATTAACGGACCGCATTAGATGTAAATTACGACGACTAAGTGTCCAGACAGAAAAACACGGAATGCTACATGATGTTACTGGAATCTCGAGGACCTGGCAGCTTATCTATCAATCATAGAATCTTATAGTTGAGGTATTACCGGAACAAAACCTCTAGCTTTATAGACAATGAAAAAGGGAGACTATTAATGGCTTATATCAGGTCTAAATTATGAGGACCAAATACAAGGGAAGAAATAAAAATTATTTTTTCTTAAATGAAGGTTTATCGTCGCATCAATTACTGACTTATTAGCGGCAGCCAATAATAGATTGTTTTAGTTAGATGGAGTCATATATAGGTTTGTTGTTTAGGATGAAATTAATTCTCTCTGTGTTACGGAAGTATTAAAAAAACAGGAGAAGAAAAAATATTGATTCAAGAACAATAAGAAGAATCAACTTACAGCTGATGAAAAGAGATGAATCACATGTAAAATTACTTTTCACTCGTTTTTCATCTTTTAAACAGTAGAACTTCAGCTGAGCAATTCTGATCTACAGTAAGTAATACTAAAAATGCACAATAATTAAAGCGATTCAACAATTATAGGGTAAGTTACCGAACAAGTTCCACTTGTAGTATTAATAAATAAATACCTAAAAAACCAATTTAGTTAACAACAAACGCTTTATTATTAATAACAATAATTACTAAGATTAAACTAATACCAGTACTAAAACGCTAAGTCGCCGGGCTAAGATCACGCTCGCGCTTTCAACACTCTCGCTAGACTCTCGGTTCAAGACTCCTCCGTCGTTGAACATCCACGCACATTTATCATTCATCCCCAACCGTTCTTTCTTCCCTTTCACATGCATAATCCTCATATCCATAATCAAAACTCACACAGTCACGTACATGCTTTGCTAATCGCTGCATTTCACAGTCCAGTTGCTCAGTCCCGAACACTCTTTCTTCGCACTCTTTCAACCACTCATGATTTTCTAAACACAGTCACATTGTGTCCTAAAAATACTAGCGTCACCCACTCGCAAGACGATACAGACTATGCACACCGACAATCAACCATTCACACCTTACAGAATATTCTGAGTACTTTTGGTACTATGACATTTTTAAGAGAAAAGGGGGAGCTGCCTCAATAATGTTCACCGTTTTCCTTTGCCATATACGACAATTCCAACCACCAAAAAGTGAGAAACAAAATTGCTTATTCCCACCAGTTATATTGACCCTTTCGCTATAATGGACGAGATATCTCGGTTCTAGGATGTCGAAGAAACGATGCTGTGGACGAGATATCTCGCGTATTTTTATTATTGATATGAAGCATTTTATTTGAATACGATTAACAGAAACAACATTGCAGTATATTATCCCAACAAGAACTTGAAATCTTCAATTCAAATCAAACTCAATCAATCCGCCGTGAAAAACGATCAACGAACTTCTACGAAAAGTCAACAGGCTTCTTTCACATCTTCAACACTTCTTCAACATCTTCATTCCATAGCAATTTCACGGTCAATTTCCCGGATGGCAATCGTTGTCGTAATCCGTACCGTTCACGACGCTCGATCCATCTATTCAACCCAAATCCGAAAGATGAATCTCATCCACATTATTATCGCAAATGACCGTCTCGGTGCCCGGCCAGCTTCGGAGCCACGCGGACGCAATAATAATTTAAGGCGACGTAACCAAGGCCCGTCCCGATGTTCCCGTAATTTCATCAACGTCGTTAAATCCCTTTACCGGGCGCGATGTATTTTGACGAGCTAATGGATATCGCGTACAGATTATCATGCTAAAGAGACGTTAATTAACACGTCGCCCGTTGTAACGGCCGCTTACACTGGTCACGGATTTCTGGCTCTCGTGGTATATAGACAGCCACGGTGTAAAAGGGATGGAACACGGGCCGTTCGGTAGTCGGCGCAGGGTAGGTGACACACCGAGCGGGGAATACAAATGGTGGACAGCCTCCAGGCTATCGGGGCTAGAAGCTTCCCGTGCGATACGCGCAAATTTCCCCGTTCAAAAGAATGGAATTACGGCTGGCGACGCTTTGTCCCCGGCGAACCCCGGTTAAATCTGTAATCCGATTTCCTTGACGAGAACAATTATAAAGAGTGGCACCGCATTAATTCTGCCGGTTCGGGTTTCGCCGCGGAAATTGCTTTGCAATTGGCTCGTCTAACAATCCGCCGGAAGCGGCGGTCCGTGAAGGTAGGTACGAAAAATCGGGACGAACGGGAAGAACGGAACAGAGCGGTTAGGGGTTGGAGGCGGACGATGCATGCGGATGATCGCCGGTACGTACTTATAAATGAGGTTTCGATCCGCACTGCCCGGTAAATTTCATTTCCTCGGCTCCGCTTGCCTCTGACGTTTCCACATATTTGTGTCCGGTTTTAAAAAGACACTTGGCTAAGGTTCGATTAAGTGGAGAATGGGTTGTTGTCTGCGACGCGATGAAGCGTTTCATGATTATTGTGTTGTACGTGAGAAATTGAAAGGGAACGTTGTTTGCATTTTACGTATTAAAGTGAGGAATATGTCGTATTAGATTGGATAAAAAAATATCGTCGCATTTTTAAATGAAGTTTAAAGAAAGGTTTCACTGTTTTAGCACTTTGCCGGCAGGATTGTTGGAATGAAAATACGTTTGTTGTTGCCATCGTATCACTTCGATTCATTGTAGAAGAGAATAATTTCAAAATATTTGATACGTATGAAGAGCTTATGACACGATCAACCTATGTGTGTACAATAACATAATTTATATAATGTTAATTGATTCAATAAACACTAATTTCAAATAATATCGGTTGATAAGTATTGATATTGAAAATGTGATTTTTAGGATCTTGGTGGGTAAAATGTTAAATTAAACATCATTGCACTATGCATTGCGTATTTTGTTTGGAAACTACCTGTTGTATTCTAGTTCACCTATTTGTAATATTTATACATACATCATAATATGAATGTCACACTGAAAAGTAAAATGACAAATCACTTTAACCGGCCCAATAGTTTTGGAAATTATAACGAAAACCTATTGTGTATGACTAGTTTTTATCGTAATATAATAACAAGGTTGATGATGAAATGTACACGTGTAGCATTTTCATTTAATCATATTGGTATTATCTGTTTAGTTTAATCATATTAGTTAGTATCTGCTGTAGGAAAAGTTTATACATAGAAAAGTTTCAAGCCTTTGAGGAGTACATTACTCGGACAATGCACTTGTTGCGTGGGGAGACATATTTCGAAAATATAACAGAAACTTTTTACTTTGAAATGAAAAACAATATTGTTCGAATCAGTCTTTAACAATAAAGTAAAATACCTTGACAAATGTTACTTTGACACTTTTTAAAATGTAGGAATTATGACTTAAAGAATACAGTGATGCATTTGAAAAGAATGTAAATTGTAATTTGTTTTTTTAAATCATGTATTATGTTATATTATTAGTAATAGGTATAACAATAGTGAAAAATTAATTAAAAGTAATCAATTTATATTATCCATTCTGTACATGATCAAGATGAGTAATATTGTTTTGAAATATCAAAACAATGAATTATTTCCATTTTTTAACATGCATCTGAAGTTAATTATTATAGAACATATTAACACTTCTGTTACGAATAGTAAATAATTTATCGTACAAAAAATAAAGAGAATGATTTTTCTACAAATTTCATTGTTAGATCCTGTGTTTTCAGAAATATGGGATTCAGAAATCCACAAACTATCAATCGAAATTAAGTGCTGCGTTTGTCTATTGTACTCAAATTTCTACCTTAAACGAACATGCAGAATAACGAATTATCAAGGCCTGAATATCTCAGTTACTTTATATTGTTTTCTTACTTTTCTCATTACATTCCTCTCCTATAGTAATATTATTGTTTTGCTCATATTTACTGGGATTTTTACTCAGTTTAGTGAGTTGTACACGCCCTATCATTTGTGTGCAACAGTTTAGAAACACCCTGTATTTGTGACGCCTCAATTTTCTTGTCAAAGTCCGACATCATAAAGATGTAACATGTATTCAATATATAAAACAATAAAATAGATATCGTATGTTCTTGATCTGCTGGTAATTACACTTTTTAATTCTTGAGCAGCAGTCGAATTGATCGATTCAAAATTAACTCGTTCCATAGAGACTCATACAGACTCATCTCTTAGTCGCCACTTGATTTGATACAACGAAATTATAAAGTTCGATATTTAATATTAACTTTGCGTAATGCATCAATACATGAAATATTAAAATAATATAGTATAGTTCCTCAATGTACATACGATTTCTCTTTAAGTTAATTTCAAAAAACGTCGTCTATATACAACTGAACAATAAAACTCTGGTTTGGCGTGGTCTATTTTTTCTGAGACTCTAGTGTCGAATGAGTTAATGATACAGCAAAAGCGTTAAGTCAAAATGTAGGCAGTTAGGTGTGGCACAGGACGCGTGCACACGGGCCAACGATCGATCAGAGCCGGTCCAAGCGAGTCGGACGACACCACGAATTCTTCGTGCGTCGCATTCATAACGAATGTAAAAGAGGCAGTTAGTCACGAACACGAGTGGCTGAAAACTCCGGCGGCAAAAAAAAAGAGGTTCCGACGCGAATCGATCGCCGGCAGCCAGCAGTCAGACGGTGTGTACGTACCTCCATGCCGCGTCGATTCCTCCATCGCACCCACTTGTTGAACCCCGGCCGCCAATATTCGACGAAGTACTCTTCGGTGTACTCGACACCGTGGCCGTTCCCGAATCTGCCCTGGGTCCTGGTCGACGTCAGTATACGCGCACTGTGGAGATTGATCTCGAGGTACTCCTTCCCCTCTTTCGTGACCATATTTTTCGGACACCAAGCGCCGCCACCCTTGTCCTGTCTCAGCCTGCGAAACCGAGGAATTACGCAAAGAATTATTACGACCGTTCTGAACCAGGAATTTTCTTTTTCACGAAAATATTCTGCTTTTATGGGAGAGCCACATGAATCACGTACTCAGCGCTGTTCACGTACTCGCTATGTGTTTTGTTCGTAGTTTTGATTGGTTACGTGTAACCGCATTCGCGAATGACAAATTGGTAATGAAAATGGGATGAGGAAAGATGAAAACTAATCAAGTAGACCTGTATTGCTTTTAACGCGTTGACTGCCACGAGAATTTCGAACGTTTTATGTAACAATACATATTCTTTCATAACAAAGGCAAATGGTATTAGAAATAATTATTAATGACTTGGTATTATAGTACACATGTTAGACTATCATCTAGATATTTGTGTTACTAAGTATTTTTATTTGGCATCAGTTTTCTTATTGTAATCGTATTTAAGCAATTTTTGAAGCTTCGGCTACCGGTGGCCATCGTGGTAGTCAACGTGTTAAAGCTCTTCTACTGTATGACGCTGAGTACGTAACGAAAGTATTTAAAATTGATGTATTTATAATGGAAATGGACATCGCAGACGTGTGCTATTCAATTCCAATGAAGTGTATACACATTATTCTCACATGTGTTTCAAGTATCATGCGTACGGGAATTTCAAAATATTTGTATTATCTGATCAATACAACAATGTCATTGTGAACATACCGATTTTAAATACTTTTGTCGGTTTGCACTCCGATATAGTTGCTAATAAACGTATTCAATCTGCATGATTCTGCGAATTATTTAAAAGAGATTTTTCTGATATGAATTAGATTGTCATAAAAACTTCTTTCATTTCGTTAATACGCAATGAATTTCCAATGTATTTTGTTTTATGGCGTGTTACTGAATTACGCATGATTTACTCTGATCGACTGTCCTTCCCTATGTCCCCAAAAGCCCAATAATGCCATTTTACTGAAAGTCCAGTTATATTAAATGTTACAGATACAGCGCAAAAGAAACTTGCTAAACGAACTAATACATTATTCACGAACTTCGAATCAAATATTAATTTCGTGCTCATTTAAATATCTAGGTAAAATTGATATCATTCGATTCCACGCGATAAAATTTTCACAATACAGTAAGAGATAAATGAAAATTTGAGTAGTGGAATGCTGATAAGATTATTTAAAATAAATAAAATCATAAATAATACCGTAATAATACAAAACATTTAATGTAAAGTGCAATTTATTTACTTTTTCCAATCATTAAATATTACTTTATTCGATAAAAAATCCTGTTGGGACGTCACAGCGTCGTCAGTGGTAGCGACGAATAGAGACGTTGTGTAGTGGACTGTATTTTTTCTAACACTTATATTTAGATTTCTCAAGTACACTCTATCTGCTAGGTTCTTAGCCCTAGGGCGTCTATGACAACTCTAATCTAAAATTGAAGCGCTCTCGTTAGAGGTGGACTTCCACCTCTCTAGCACATTACTAGTACTCGCTGATTGGTTTTCCTTAAATTTTGATAACAACCAATCAGCGAGTCTATTTTTTCTAGAAAACACCCTTCCCTTGCGCCCCAGGCGCGCCCTTTCTGGGTGGGTGTTCATGTATGGAAAGTGAGGGCGGCGAGAACAGTTTGACAACCATGGGGAAATTGCTCCAGGTGTGACTCCGGTGCGTTCACCGTTACAAAATATTGTCGAAATTACCCTTCGGAACTGTCCCCTTTTATGACACGTCTTAGCTATTTAGGACAAGAGAAGCGAAATCCCAAAACTAGACAATAAAGTATGCGCTCTCTCGCCAGGAAAAATATTTTAAGTCTAAATTGCATGTCAGATGTTAACCAAAAATCCTAATCTCACAAATTGCCAACTACGCACGTCCGCGTCATAAAGAGTATTAGTGCTGGGCACTAACAAATCCTCTGAACAGTAAAGTAGATAAATTTGTTCTCAGTTCCGGTTTTATGAAAATAGAAAATTAAGAACTTTTACTTCACAATATTACGTAATACTAGTGAAATAAGACTACCTGATTTCATTTAAAATAAAAAACATAATTTTGAATCCTAAAATTCATGTCTACTGTAGCATACATTATGGAACAACTAAATGAAATAGTCAGTCAGGTAAATCAGTAAGAAACTAAAAATTGAAAGAAAAATACTAACAAATACAATTGACGAGTGGATTCGTCATCACCAGTTAACAGACGGCAAAACCACTGGTTTTGGCTACCAGTCAAAAATTCATCCAGTTCCACTGCACCGAATCACGTACCAAGCCCCCTTTCCACTTACTGAAAACCATATTCCCTCCCAACCGTATTCTTCGCCCGACACGAGACTCGTGAAAAAATAATTAATGGGCCCGGTCTTTTTCCCTTTTTCCCATTTTCTGCGCGCTGGTTCCACACCGGCATCGACACGGGTGTTCGCGTATAAATTAATGACGCTTGGATTGATTTACGAGCGACCGTTTAGCCAGAGGTTTTTTCAGTATCGATTTTGAGTTATTTATAATCATTTATATGTATCGAACAGCTTTTTGCTATAATGGTTTTCAACGCCGACACCGTGGCAAGTTGCGCGAAAGAAAGAGAGAGAATGGGAGGGTGAGTAAGAGGGGAGAAGCAATCGGTGTTTAATCATCGCGCACGGTTCTGACCCATTTACATCGTTGCTGAGAACAACGGGAAAGCAGTTTCGATTGCGAGCTGCATCGCCGTGCCTGGAACAGCATTATTATGGATGTTCCACTCTGTACACCTGTACTGCTTGACGAGCATAACGGCTTCAATCTGCGACGAGTGTTTCCGAGACTGAAAAAATTCTCGTGGGAACACTCGTTTCGCGGAGCCGCGTTTGCAAGATCTGCATTAGCGGCCGGCATATCGATTTCTCGTGAGGAATAGCGAGATTGAAGGCATCATTGAACATCGGGGAACTGATAACGGAATTACATTCGAATGCGTATTTTCGAACACCAAACAATTCTCACGCTAACGGCTTGAACCTTTGGGAACGAAAGCCAGGGATCGTGAACTTGCAAATTATTTGCCATCACTCGAGTTATTTTTATGAACGAAATATATTTTAGAATACATTAACATTAGGTTTACGGAACTCTATAATTTGAAATATGTTGAATTTTATAATCGTTATTTGGCAAATGTTTACGTCGACTTTGATTGATACAATTACATGGTTATACATCCAAAGTGTTTATTTTTAAACTTATGATTTTCAAGATGTAAATGAACGAACATAAATTTTTGTAAAAACAATAAAATAAATTGTACAATAAATATACCTACTGTTAAGTAGTAGGCTAAGTTGTATAGAGACAGGTCACAAGGTTGTCAGAATAAATTTGTAAATAATTTACTCAACATCGAAAATAATGTCTGTAAATGTAATTGTTCTTTTCAGATGAAATTTTAATTTATTTAAATTATTCATATATATTATTTTATATTATTTAGATTATCGTTTTGCTTTATAACCCTAAGTACAGATCTTTCACATTTTAAATTATCATGAATTCGTGTTTCGTATACTTTATGCGTTTATTTCAATCTACTTGACAAGTCATAAAAGGAAATTAACCTTATCAATAATTAATTAACTTTAATTAATTAACCTTATAAACACGCGCGCGCACACACACACACACACACACACACACCATGTATCGACATAAATTCATTCATAAGAAAATATTCCCCCCACACATCAGAAACTTTTCAAACAGTTCCTTCCACATATTTAAATATTTAAATATATTTCCCAGGATAGAACAGGTGGCAAGAAACAGAATCAGAATCGGACAAAAAAATCATATACTCACACATTCAATCAAAAGACAATACCGATCTGTAATGAATGTGCTGACACAATTACAGCGAAGCGTTTACTTCTCCATTTCAACAAATACAAAAATCTCCGTAACAAGCAAAATATCAACCCAGTACTAAAGGAAAACCTCAAGAAATAACAAATAGGAGACCTCATAAAATATATGAAGAAAGCACACCTAATACAGAAAACAATATAATAGAAACGATGGTCGCTAATAACAACAGCAGTTGACGCGACCTTAAACATGATTTTAAAACACGAAATATTAGCATTCTTACCGTTCCTTCAATCCGCCAAATCGACTAAACGAAAACACAAAACCCATCACGTTTCTCTGAAATTTTTAAATGCACTTTCTAAAATCTGGTCTAATACAAAATTTTTAAATCGACATTCATATTCCAATAACTCCAGCATTCCATTTCATTTCCATATTGTTTACTAGGTCCTCGGGCAAAATGTTTTCCCCCAAGCTCGAGCGATCGCAGGCCATAATTTCGAGCGCCAAACGCGTTTTTAATTCACCTAAGGGTGGGATCGTGGCCCAGATGCATGCGGAATATACTTCGCCGACGGTTACAGGCTCACCGGGTGTGCACGTTCAATAGACACCGATTATTGTGTACGTGTGCACGTGTAATTCCGGCTAAAAATAGCGCCGGCCCGATAACAAGATCGTATTATGTACAGCTCGGAGATCCTTCGCGCGATAAGAAAGCCGAGCCGAGTTTAATTTTAAGCTCTATTTACCGTGGAACGAGCTTTCGGAATTAAGGATATCGGCGAGCGGGCACCGGCCGCGCTGCGAGTGGCTTATTATCACTAGCGCGACTGAGTTATCGGCGACGAGGAGCCGGCTCGGTTGCCGAGTGACTCATCGGCCGTTTCCCTGATACAATTTTCTTGATTTTCAAAGCTCGTTATCCGCGTAATCGTCCCGAAATGAAATTCTATTCCCATCCGAGAATAATTTTTTCCTCCTCAGATATTGCGCGGATTCCCTTCGTCAATTAAAATTAATGAATCCTGACCCGATGAGCCGCGGGGCGGATGGTGGCTCTGACAGATTCTAGTTCTTTGTTTCGTCTCGCGTTGAACGGACCGCGGATTATTTGTAATTTCGTTGCGATTCGTCT